TATTGTTCTCCGGAGGGCATTTGTATATATATATATATATATATATATATGTGTGTGTGTGTGTGCGTGTGTGTGTGTGTGTATCATAAAAGACTCGTTGAGAACAAAGCATATTTGTCATTCTTTTTCCATTCAGACATTCCGTTTCGTCTGAGGAATATCGGTGTTATTATATCCATGATATAATAATTCCCATAACTAGAGAAAAATAGAGGGGAAGATAAATCTTTCTTCCATGCACTCCCGTTAGAGTTTAAATTATATTTGTTTTAGAATGTTGTAAATATAGCATTATTCTTGTAAATAAACAATCTCATAAATATACAATGTTTAATATTTTTGTTGAAAGAACAAAAAAAAGGTATAAATTCACTTTCATCGTATGTTTACATTTTATTTATTTCTAAACATTGCTTATTAAAACAATAAACATTGCCAAGGAGTGAAGGAAAATAATAGCGACATCATTTGAAAAGCCGTTCGTTTAGCACTCCCTGATTATACAAGATGAAGAGAAATATAATTTGGATTCTATTATTCATTTAGCTGAAATATTTTTTGGCCGCTATACATTCCCTTTGGTAACATATCCTACAATTTACACTCTTAACTTTCAACAAAAACCTTCCTGAAGCCATCAGTTCTCGACTTGGTTTTTTTTTTTTTTTAGTTGTTGTTGTTTTAAGCATATCACCCCAAGTTAGGCGGGAGTGCCACTAGCACGTAAGGGGTTACAGAGGACTGAGAGCAAGAATAAAGAACGGTGTTTGAGGAAAGGATATAGAGATGGACGGGGATCATGATCAAGGCATCAGAAGATGTCGATTGACATTACATTTGAATATTTGAACATTATAGCTATCAGGAAAACAAGTAGGAGAGAGGGAGTTCCCATCTCTGTCCCATAATGATTGTTCCATTTACGTACGCACTTCATAGAATAACTGGAACAATCATTATGGGACAGACGTAGAATAATATAGAAGAATGGCTACTTTCATAATCAGATTAAATAGAACGAGAAAGAGGAAACTTTTTTTTGTAAACATTCCACCCCAAGCAAAACAGGAGTGTCACTAGCACACACTGAACTATCAGGAAAGCAAGTAAATGGTTTAAACCATTTATTTTTATCTTCAACATCATCACTTGATAAGACACCGAGGATGTTGAAACAAAATGGCTATTTTTGCAGTGATTTTATAACATACTTATGTTATAATTTTTATAAATAAATTATATATATATATATATATATATATATATATATATATATATATATATATATATGCATGTTCTTAATTAAAAGTTTTTCAATCTATCTTTTTTCTTTCTGACTTTTCTTCATTTTCTCACACATTTTGGGTTCTTTTTGCATTTTCCTCCATTTTCATCATTTTTCTTTTCTCGTTTCATCTCTTCTTGTTTCTTCGGATATAAATACTAACCAAAAATTAATAATAAACTTTTGAGATTATTTCATCTAATAAAAAAAGGAAATGGAAGTAAATACTAGTAAAAAGAAATACTAATAATGCACGACAATGCTTCATCAAATAGGAAATGTATATGAAAGTAAATACGATTTAAAAATTAAGAATTATGGTTGACAATACATCATTTAATCAAAAATGGAGATGAAAGTAAATACTAGTCAAAATTAATATTAATGGCCGACAATGCATCATTTAATAGAAAATGAACATAAAAGTAAATACTAATCAAAATTTCATAATAATGGTCGACAATGCTTCATTTAATAGGAAATTAAGATGAAAGTAAATACTAGTCAAAACAGATGTTGACAATGCTTCATGTCATAAAAAATGAAAGTAAATAATTGTAAAAAATTAAAATAATGGTTGACAATGATTTAGCTAATTTAAATTACGATGAAATTGAGTAGTATTGAAAAATTAATAATAATAATTGACAATGCTTCATTTTGTCAAAAATAAAGGTGAAAATAAATACTATTCAAAAATTGATAACAGTGATGAACAATCCTTCATTTCTAACGAAAACTTTTTCTTTTCTTCTCTTTTCGAATATTTAATAAATACTTTCATTATCCTCGTTCTTCTTCGTTAGAATTTCGCCCTCCTTTACTCCGACAACATTTCTTGTTGTAATGCCTTACAAAATGTCCGTACCTTCAAATTAAAATTATTCTCTTCCTCAAACAAAGTCGCAGATGAAGAAATGCAAAGCCACCCTGAAGTATGTTATGTGAACGCTTCTGTTTACCAATCATGTTTGAGACACATGGATTTAGCCCCCTGTTTTTAAAAAGAAAGAAAAAAATGGGAGATCCCATCTTGTCTTAGTCGACCCGGGGCTACGTTCAGGCGGTTGCCTTTCACTTTCAAGTCATGACGAAAAATTAATTACATATAAGCGTCACAGTTTACTTAACCTTAATTTCTTCTGACTAATCCCACGGATTAATTTACCATCTCATACATTCGGTAAATATTGTCATTTTTTTTTTTTTTTTGTGGTGGGGAGGCTGTTGTTATGGGGGATGGATTTAAAAAATGCCACAATTTTATGCTTCGTTTTTATTTTTTTGATGTTCATATTGAAACGTTTGTTTTTGTTTTTTTCAATCGAGTTCACCCCAAGCAAGGCAGTAAAGCCGCTAAGACACAAAGAGATGGTGGGTATAGAAGTTATTTTTTCTGCCGGTCAAACGATATTTCTACTGACAATGGAATAAAGTTCCAGCATACAATCCCCACTTGTTGTCACATTAGATATCTCGGAGGTATTATTTCTTTACACCAAGCAGTGTATATTTATGTGTTTTTTCATCATAGCGTATTTTGCGTATAACAATGGTGATCTAGCGGAAGACCTAAGCAGATTTATTTTCATAGCAATTCCACCGTACAATCAGCATAATGAGCCACATAACAAAACTCATCATCCGAATTCTGATGAATAGAGCGCGCAGCATAATCAGACCAGAGATAGGATAAGTACAGTACGGGTTCGTCAAAGATACTGGAACAAAGAAGGCAATATTTATCTAATGTATATTCAATGTATATTAATGTTATCAGCAAGAGCAATACAAATGCAGAAGAATGTGGACCTGTGTTTTATAGACTATGCAAATGTGTTTAACAATGTACGCCACAAAGATCATTTGGAGCTTCTCGGCGCCCTTGACATATTTTGGAAAGGCATTAGAATAATCAAGAATCTATACTGCTGAAAACCGTCTGCGCACAGACAGAAAATAAGTTCAGTAGATACAAAAAAAAAATAGAAAAGGATGTAAGACAGGTATGTGTTTTCTCGCCGGACTTATTCAACCTATACAGTGAGGAAATTCTGAGAGAATTAGAAGTCCTGCCAGGATTCGTAACTGGTGGCCAAAATCTTAGCAATATCAGATATGCAGATGACACAGTGCTGATAGCAGACACAGACAGAAAACTACAAAATCTCCTACAGAATATAGCGAAAGAAAGCGAGAATAAATAAACTACAAGAAGATAAAATGCATGGATAACAGCAAAGGATGAGCATAAAATGCAAATTCGAAGTCGAGAATGCTAAAATCAAGCAGGTGACGTAAATTTAAATATCTGGGAACTGGTCTAACAGAGAAGTGTGACACTTAGATCAAAAGACCTATTGGGATTGCCAAAGATGCATTCCAAAAGCTAAGCAAGGTATTAAGAGACAGAAAAAGTAGTTAAAAAGAAAGAAAAAAGTACTAAACTATTACGTGAAAAAGAGTGTGAGTTCAATACCCGGTTAAGACAGTGGAGAACTTGTAGAAGGGGAATTAACAGGAAATAACTGACAACTAACAGCCATTAAACATGCCACATGGAACTAGAACAATTGAGCGAAATAAAGGGTTCATTTCGACATTCAAACCAGCTGAAGAAGGTCGGAGCTTACAACGGCCGAAACGTTGTAATAAATATGGCGATAAAGATAAGCACAATAGTCCGAATAATGTAAAAAGTGTACATAATACCTCATCTCAGAAATATAACAGATACTGAAAGGCCGAAACGTTGTAATAAATATGATGACAAATATGAGGACAATAGTCCAAATAATGTAAATAGTGTACATAATACCTCATCTCAGAAATATAGACAGATACAAAGACACATTCTTTTCAATTTCAGATTTTGGAGTATTTTTAAAAATATCACCATAATATTTGGGCACCAATTATGATTAATAACAAAGCAATATTTAGCCTTCGTGCACGCAAAAAAAAAACTGTTCAAAATTATAGTTTTTTCCTTGACACCGATATTATTTTAACTACCTTCTCTCCTCAGTAATGTTTAGAATTTTCATAAAACCTAAACGTATGAAAGTGAATTTATACAAAATTTGTTCTTGAGAATTAAGAAGAAAAATAATAAACACTATTTATTTATTGGATGGTTTATTTACACTATTTATGTAGTTTTCTTAATATGGCAATCTCTTTTCCTTTTATTTCCTTGAAAAGAAAAAGAAGACTGATTGAAAAGAGCAGTCTTCTTCTGTATATGCTACTTCGCCAAACTGAAATACACTTTTAAGACGGGAAATCCACAAAACTTTAGCAAACTGATTAATTACTTATCAATCACATCAAAGTAACAATGTTTTTCTTCAAGTGTATCGCGGCTGTTCTTCATCGATTCAGTTGGACGTCCACAAAATTCATAAAATGATTACTTATGGGGAAAGACTGTAAAACAATAAATGCATGCCAACAACAAAACAAAATGAAATTCACGAATAGCAGGTTCTAAAAACAATAAGAGTTAAAAGATTCAGTCAATACCAAGTGTAAATCAATAAGAGTCTTTTTACAGAAGGTGCAGAAATTCCTGCTAAAACCTATTGTTAGCAACCAATATTGCTTCCTGCTAGATTTATGGCGCTGTTTATTCACTAAGATACCCACCGTAAATTCTTGCGTCCGCTTCGAATTGGACAAGTGACATCTGTTGGGAATTTAGTTGATTTCGCCAATGGCTTCTGTTTTCTGGCGTTTTTCTTTCGATTTCTCGCCTTTTCGTTGGCATCAACATTTTCTTTCTTTCACATGGTTCATTCTTTTTCTTCATCAAATTGCATTTTCTTCATTTTTCCCCACAAGACTCAGACGGCGTCGACGAAAGTGAACGGTAAATGAATCCGTGTAGAATTTGATTACAGGATTTCATCTTGAAGACTGCGACACAATATTGACACATTCTGTTCTCATCAGATTTAGAAATTAAAAAAAATATATATCACCATAATATCTGGACATTATTACGATAGAAAAACAAGGCAATCTTTAACCTTCGTATCGACAAAAAAAAAATCGACGTGTCAAAAATGAGGATTTTTCCCTTGACACTGGCACTATTTGAACAACCAGTTTTCGTTTAAAATTTTAATAAAATTTAAACATATGAAAGTGAATTTATAAATTTTTTGTTCTTGAGAATTGACTAGAAAAATAATAAACACTATTAGATTGTTTATTGATACTATTATATTTTTATTGTTTATAGAAATGTTTGGCAAAAGATTGGCTACTTGCCAATTGATTTGAACTTTATAAAATGGTAAGAGTTGTTTCAAATATTTTATTATTTTAGGAAATATCTATAAATTTATGAATAACAAATTGTTTTTACAACCTTGTGCAAATTAATTCAAACTAAACAAATAATCCCGTTATTATTTACTTTTCTTCATATTTTTCAAATGAAACATGACCCAGTGGACATGTTAGTACTTCATATGTCCATTACACGAAGTCAATCCTTACAGATTGGCCACAGTTTCCGATTGGATTTAAATCAGGAGAGATTCTTGGCCAGTTTATAGCACTTTGATTTGCTCACTGATAAGGTTGCCATTGTGTTCGTGCAGCGTTATAATTTTAGTACGATTACTTGGGGTAACGTCCATCGCAGACAATGACCGTAGGACAATTAATCGACAGTCGAGACATTAGTGCGTGATAAAAATATGATGCAATCACAGATGACGCAATATTTTTCAAGGCCAAAAAAATTTCATCATACACCGCAAAAATAGATCCACATTACTGCACACCAGGGAAAATGACCTAATCTGAGGAAAAAAAAATAGAAATCAATTACATCGTTTCACTCCAGTGGGTCTAAATTGACTATATGTTGAAAGAAAAAAACTAAATAAGTTGTTTCAATTAATTTGCACAAGGTTGTATATTTATTCCTTTATAAGCTTATAAATGCTATATATTGTATTTCATTAGTTTTAATAATGAGTTTGAATACAATTGTATTAATTTTTAGAATGGTGTAAATATAAAAATATTCTTGTAGATAAACAATCTAATAAATATATAGTGTTTATTATATTGTTGTAAATTCTCAGGAACAACAATGTATAAATTCACTTTTATCATATGTTTAAGTTTTATTACAATCCTAATCATCACTTTTCAAAACAATAAATATTGCTGACGAGTGAAGATAATTAATTAAAATAAGATCTGTGACAATGGTGAAAGCCGGTATATTGACACTCGGTTTTTTGTAAGCACGAAAGTTAAAGATTGCTAGAAGGAAATATAATACTTGTTTTTAACTGTCTATATTTCTGAGATGAAATATTATGTACACTATTTACATTATTCGGACTATTGTGCTCATCTTTGTCGCCATATTTATTACAACGTTTCAGATCCTTCAGTATCTGTCTATATTTCTGAGATGAGGTATTATGTACACTATTTATATTATTCGGACTATTGTCCTCATCTTTGTCGCCATATTTATTACAGCGTTTAGGCCTTTGAGTGTCTGTCTATATTTCTGAGATGAGGTATTATACACACTATTTATATTATTCGGACTATTGTCCTCATCTTTGTCGCCATATTTATTACAGCGTTTAGGCCTTTGAGTGTCTGTCTATATTTCTGAGATGAGGTATTATACACACTATTTATATTATTCGGACTATTGTCCTCATCTTTGTCGTCATATTTGTTACAACGTTTCGGCTGTTGATATCCGGAGCGTACAACGGCCGAAACATTGTAATAAATATTGCGACAAAGATGAGGACAATAGTCCGAATAATGTAAATAATGTACTTGTTTTTATTTTGAAATCTTACGTTTCATGCGGCACAAGGCCAAATGTGTGTGAGGTTGGTCTTCGTTGACCATCCTGCACCTAGTTAATCTCGTTCACAACCCATTCATTACAATTTACCCATACACCAAAAGAAGTCATTCATCGCCATTAAATCCAACACATACCATAATACCGCATATTCACATGGATCCTACTAAAATATCCATGACATGAAAATATATACAATCAATTTTTTCCAAAAATTAATAGCTATATTATTCTTGGTGTCAATTCTCAAGAGCAAAATTACGCTGCATACAGTACCCACTGACATTTCAGATGACCATCTGGGGTATTTTTCTACCAATATTATGAACAAGGCAGGCCTTACCAATGGAGACTTTAAGCTCCATATGATAGTCACCAGCAAGAGCTTTTTAGACATCCACGACACCCTGTTCAGCCTTGAAAGGCAAATATTCGTTATTGTGGAAAAAAAGGTGAGCCCATTGCTGGACTTGTGGACATAAGAGGTTTACTGTGTATCAAAGCATATGAGGCAAAGCAAAAATATTAAGCAGAATAACAGGACATGAATTTAGAAAACAGAAAATGGCGATTGACATTTTACTTAACGTTTTGAAATTCAAAGTTCACTGGAAAGCAAGAAGCCGGAAGAGTGTTCCACAAGCGAGAAGTGCGAGAGAAGAAACAACTAGCATAGGACTTACGGTTACATCTCGCCGTTTTAACTGTAAAATGATGATTAAAAGTTAAAACTGTTTGCTTTTATGTCTACATTAATAATAATAATAATAATAATAATAATAATAATAATAGTAAAAATAGACCATATAAAACCATATAAAAGAAATAAAGGTATGATGTGTGATTATATAAAAATAATAATAATAATAAATTTTTATTAAAGACCATAAATTGTTATTAAAGACAACAAACAAAAACGGTGCCTCCTTATTGATATGGCAGTCCCTGCTGGCTGCAATGTATCTTTGAAGATATTCAAAAAGCTGTCAAAAAACAAGGACCTTGAAATAGAAATCTCGAAAATGTGGCATATGGTAACATCAATAATCCCCGTTGTAGTTGGAGCCCTAGGATTGGTTGGAAAAGATTGCAGTAGACTAATTGAAAGGATTCCTGTAAGTCCATGCCTCAAGGAGATACAAAATTTGTTCTGACAAGTACAGCCCACACTTTACGAAGGGCTTTATCTATGTAATTTTATTTATTTATTTTTTTTTTGTCAGTGGAAAGTGTCATGATGCCATTTCTAACCTTAGGTCCCTGGGCGGGACCCGGAAAGAAATGTGTAAACACCAGAAATCAAAGAAAATAATAATAATAATAATAATAATAATAATAATAATAATAATAATAATCGAAATACTACTACTAATATTAATAAAAGCAGAAACCAAATTTTTTTAAATTTATTCTTGCTACAGAGGGGCAATGGAAATTTTGATGCAAACATACTGAAAATATTCTATTGACTCCAAATGGGAATTCTGTTATGAATAACAGGAAATAATTGACTTTCTTTTATCCGGTTTAACGATATTAGCATCCACTGAATATAAAAATCGGTATGACATGTTGTGCCAATATATGGACTGGAAATTTTGCAATTTTTACTGAAAGGAAACTGCAAGAAATTGGTATGAACACCACCCCGACCTGTTTCTAGTCATAGGGTCTGTAACAATTTTATGGGACTTTAAAATACAAACAGACAAAATATTCAAGACTAATTACCCAGACTTTGTGATCCCTGTCCACAAGAACCGAATGTGCTTCCTTATTGATATGGTAGTTCCTGTAAACTGCAATATAACTTTGAAGATCTTCACTAACAATGAAAATACAAGGAGATCTCGAAGTGGAAATCTCGAAATTATGGCACACGAAGATATCAAGGAACTCCAGAATTGAAAAAAATAAAAACAACAGTAAAATCAATCATTGACGACGAATGTCGCAATATTCAAATATACTCTGGAGAAATATGTAATAGACATGAGATTTCGTAAATTTCCGTCCTGGATAATCCGTTAAACTACATCCGCGTCCTGAGTAAGGCGTTAAACTAAGTCCAGCAGCAAGGCCTCTCATCAGGAGGTTTTGAGGAGCGTGGAACCACCTCTTAATTGCTGGCGTTCCCAGGTCCACCCTGACCCGGGGTGGTAGCACCTGTTAGGGTCCCAGCTATTGTTGACACCCAAACTTGTTTAAAAATAGGTTTTAATACAAGAAATACATTGTAATAAAAATTATTATCAGCAATACTTTAAAAAAAAAAATTCCAGCAATACAAACAGCTATACATTCTTTGAAAAATATAATACTAGTTATAGATTTCTTCAAAGCAAAATATTCAAAGATATAGATTTTTGAAGAAAAACATATTACCAGTAATAAAAATTTTTGTCTGTCTTAAATAACCCATTGAGGTTGATATATCGTTAAATAAAGCAAACCAAGCCAAAACTACTTGTAACACAAAAAGTAAACTAAAGGCAAGCATTCACCAACACAAAATGAACTAAAGGTAGCATTCACTAGCTCAGCCAAGGAGACCGTCCAGAAGAGTTACATGAGATTCCGAAGTCGTTTTGGTGACTGTGGTTGAAGATATTGGTGCTTTTATTGAATATATTTACTCTTTAGTATTTCAATATATTTATGCCTAATGTTGGTAAATATATCTTTTAAAATAAGAGGTCAAATGTTATTTTCACTTTTGCATCAATTAGACGACAATTTATCAATCGTACCCTGTACATTCACATTCCGACATACTCACATACAAACATATACTCACACACGCATATACAGATACACTCACACATATACACTCTCACATATACTCCCACATATACACTCACACATGTACAATTACACACACACACGCACATGCACTTACGCATACACATACGAAAAGTTACATTCGCACAACCTCACCCTCACGCTCACACTCACACATACTCACACACAAATATACTTTCACGCACTCACTCAGGGATATTCCTCACACTTACATAAACTTGCATACATACTTATACACACATTTATATGTACGCACGCACACTCCCACAAACACTTACACTCACATAAACTCGTAGGACACATGCACGCATATACACACACCCGCACATTTACCCTTATCACACAGCACACTTATACTCAAACACATATATACACACACAAAAAGCACGCTCACATACTCACTCACACACATGCACTCTCACACAATCACACGTGCACACACCCACAAACGTATTTGCACGCAATTACATGTATATACACTCTCACACATATTTACACACATTTATATGCACGCACGCACACTCTCACATACACTCATATACACTCCTGGCACACACACGCATATACACACGCACACTTACACTTATCACGCACACAATCACACAGCACACTTATACTCACACATATATACACACATAAGCATGCACACTCATTCACACACATAGACTCTCACATACTCACACATGCACACACCCACATGCGTACTTGCACGCAATTACATGTATATATACACTCACACACGCATACGATCGCTTACGCACACATACATGTGATTATTTTTTCTTTTTTTCTTTCTTTTTCATTCCACTTCTCCTTCATTTTCATTTTTTTCATTCAATTTCATTCTTTTTGTTCGTCTTCATCTCTATTGTTTCTTTGATTTCTTTATTTTTCATTCCCCCTTTTTTCTTTCTTTCTTTTCTTTTTTCCCCGCGCTTTCTCTTTCTTTCTTTCTTTCTTTCTTTCTCTTTCTTTCTTTCTCTTTCTCTTCATATTTTATTTTCATTCCAACACCCTCACCTCTCACCCCCGCTCGCAATAATCGAAAGTAAACGTCAAACGCTTATCGCTTCTCCTGTGCTTCTGTGCAAAAGATGTGAACGGCGATAACGTACCTTGACACGCACGGGCTTCGATTTCGCTCATCACTACTAATACAAGCCTTGATATCAGAGGTTGGATTTAGTATCCATTCGGGAGATTATATAGCGCCGACACGGTAAAAACAGAAAGCATATATCGGAATTCATTAGAAATCATTTTACAAGAAATCATTTAAACGATTTACTCTTATTATTATCATTCTAGCATAGAACCCGTCAAAATTATGAGATTATTATCGAACCATTTCTCTCTCTCTCTCTCTCTCTCTCTCCCTCTCTCTCTCTCTCTCTTTCTTTCCAGCGCTTCTATTTTCTCATTTCTTCGGTCGCTATAATCTCGTTCGCTCTCTCTCTCTCTCTCTCTCTCTCTAAATTGTTCTGTAATATTCTCTAGTTTGATCTCTTTTTCTCTCTCTCTGAATTGTTTTTTAGCATTCTCTAACTTGCTCTCTTTCTCTATTCTCTCTCTTTAAACCGTTCTGTAGCATTCACTAGTTTGATCACTTTCTCCACCCCCCCTCTCTCTCTCTCTCTGAATTGTATTCTGTCATTCTCTAGTTTGCTCTCTCCTCTCTTTAAATTATTCTGTAGGAATTCTCTAGTTTGATCTCTTTCATCCCCTCTCTCTCTAAATTGTTTTCTAGCAGTCTCTAGTTTGCTCTTTCTCACTCTCTCTATTTAAATTGTTCTGTAGAATTCTCTATTTTTTTTCTCTCTCTCTCTCTCTCTCTAAATTGTTCTGTAGCATTCTCTAGTTTGATCTCTCTCTCTCTTATTCTTTCTCTCTAAATTCTTTTCTAACAATCTCTAATTTCATCAGTCTCTCTCTATAACTCTCAGTTGGACTCTTGTTCTTGATTTACTCTCACTCCTCTATCTTTCTCAAATTCTTTGCATTTTAACATGAAAAAAATTTCTACAGTCATTGAAAGTGCCTTTTGCAGGCATTTTTTAAGCTTATATTTTTAATTCACTTATTTTGAACATTAAGGGTCGCATTATTTTAAAGGGACAATGAAATGCACTGAATAAATCTGAAATTAATGCCTCCATTAATTATAACACCACCATTTTGTTGAATAATGAACTTTTCACAACATCGCCCTCTACTGACGAATTAAGTATGTGATATAAAAGACACGCTCAATGTCTTATTGTTTGTCTGTTAGCGCTGCTACTGCTACTATGAGTAATTATGCCAAAATTATGAATAACCAATAATTCTGCCATTCTTTGCTAACTGCGATATTCAATGTACTGTACGTTTGTCCTTGGACTTTTATTACTTTTGATAATCTTGCCTCGTTCTCAACCGATAGGAATTCGTTAACAATGGCTTCCATTGCTGTTCCTGGGGGGAAAGTATTCACCACTGATATATAAAGGTATTTTTGTATTAAATTATTTCAATTCTGTAATGAAGGATTTTCATTATTTATTTATTTTTTTTATTCATTTATTGTTAATTTTCGACATATTGTTGCCTTTACCAAAACTATCTGCTCCAATGGCTGTTCAAGTAAGGAGCATGAAAAGGTTTTTTTTTTTTTTTGTTTACATACAGCATCCGATGTGATCTGGATTTGAATGCTACATACAGTGAGAAAGAAAGAAAGAAAGAAAGAAAGAAAGAAAGAAAGAAAGAAAGAAAGAAACGAACGAACTAACAAAAAATAAATAAATAAGAAAAAAAAGAAAAACAAAGCAAAGAAAGAAAGAAAGAAAGAAAGAAAGAGGAAAACGAACAGAATAAAAGATAAACAAGAAAGAAAGAAAGAAAGAAAGAAAGAAAGAAAGAAAGAAAGAAAGAAAGAAAGACGAAAACGAACGGAATAATAAATAAACAAGAAAGAAAGAAAGAAAAAAAGAAAGAAAGAAAGAAAGAAAAAGAATGTGTTTTACATACAGCTTCCGATGTGTTCTGGATTGGTATGCTACACATAGAGGAAGCAAGAAAGAAAGAAAAAAATGAAAGAAAGCAAAAAGAAAGAAACAAACAACAGAGAGATAAATAAAATGAACAATATGATAAACAAATTAGAAAAACAAAATTAAGAAAGAAAGTCATCAAGAAAAAGTAAGTAATAAAGAACGTAAGTAAGAAAGACGGATAATGTAAATATCAAAGAAATTAAAAAGATAATTAAAAGAAAGAAAAAAGAAAGATAGAAAGAAAGAAGCAATATAAGAAAAGGGATTAAAAAACCACGAATAAAGTAATACGTAAATATAAAAAGAAATATAAACAAAATTACAAAAGTAAAAAAAAGCAAAGAAAGAAGCAATAAAGAAAAAAAAACAAAATAGAAAGCTAAAAGTGAAGAAACAAAGAAAAGAAGAGAAAAGAAAAAAAAATCCAAAGTAACAAAGTGAGAACCAAAGAAAGAACGGAAAACGAAAGAAAGAAAAAACAACGAAAATGCGAGAAAGAAAAGGAAATAAAAGAAAATGGCAAAATCTAAAAAATATAAGCAAAAAGCACAAAGATACAAGGAAATTAGCAAAATAGAGCGCAAAAATAAACAAGAAAAAAAGATGAGGCTAACACCATAAAGAAAAAATAGAAAAAAAAACAAACTAAAACAAAAAAATCGAAAGAAAAAGAAAGAAAGAAAGAAAGAAAGAAAAAACGAAGCAAAAAATATAGAAGAAGCAGAAAGAAAAAAAAAAGAATCATGGAAAAGAAATAATGAGTGAATGATATCAGTGATATGAATTTCAATCAGAAGGACTTAAATGATGTGTCAAGAACTGAAATGCGCCATTGGGATGACAGAAAGATAACGTTACCATGGTTACAATTACCTAAAATGGTGTTGTTAACAAACAAAATGATGAGCGATATTTTGAAATAAATGAATAAAAAATCATTATTTTCATTCGTTTCAAATTCTTTATTTTTTACGATTGGCTTTTCTTCATTATTCGCTTGCCAATATTTCTATTTTTCCCAATATACAATTTAATAACTAATACATTTTAGTCTTTCTTTTCTTTTTTTGTGTTCGTGCGGTTGGTGTAATGGATAGCGGCTAGGAATAAGAAATTTGAGAGTCGTGTTCGAACTCTAGTCTGATCCTTTAGGTTCACTTATGTGCGAATTCCTTTGAGAAAGGTTATGAATCCATATCCTCCACCAACTATGGGTTGAATAGTATCATTTTTTTTTTAATCTGGTAAATAATAGTTATTCGAAAATAAAACTGTTAATGCAGTATTCATTCGCAAAGAAAAATTAATTAGTTACATTCGGATTCAAAAAACGCTCAGAATCTTGATAAGACGGAAAAACAAAAACAAATCAAACATCAAGAAATCTTTATGTCTTCTTATTATTGCGGAAGACAGCAGCGTGATAACAAAGTAACTTTAGGGTACAAATATACAAACCACCATAACATCCAGTATGATAATGGTATACCAAGCACATTTATTATTATTATTATTATTATTATTATTTCTTTTGATTTTTCGTATGTACTTATTTCTTTCTGGGTCCCGACCAGTGACCTAAGGTCAAAAATGGCATCATGATATTTTCCCCTGAGCAATTTTGAAAAACAAAAAGCACATATATTTTACATAGATAAAGCCCTTCGTAAGGCGTGGGCTCTATTCGTGATAACATTTGTTTATATTTCTTTAAATCATGGGCTTCCAGGAATTCCTTCAATTAGTCTATTGGGATCTTTTCCAATGAATCCGAGGGCTCCAACTTCAACTGGAATTGTTGATGTCCTCATGTACCACATTTATGAGATTTCGATTTCAAGGTACTTGGATTTTGATAGTATTTTGAAGATCTTCAATGATACATTGCAGTCTACAGAGACTGCCATATCAAAATAAGGAGGCACTTTTTGTCTTTGCGGTATCTCATCACGATGTCTGAGATTTGATTTGATTTTCCTGTTTTTAACTTTAATTGTTCTGTCTTTTATTATTATTATTATTATTATTATTATTATTATTATTATTTTATTTCCTTTGATTTCTTATGTGTACTCATTTCTTTCCGGGTCCCACCCATTAGAAATGGCATCATGACACTTTCCACTAACAAAAAAAAAAAATAATAAATTACATAGATAAAGCCCTTCGTAAATTGTGGGCTGTACTTGTGAGAACAATTTTTTGTATTTCTTTAAGGCACGGACTTCCAGGAATTTCTTCAATTAGTCTACTGGAATCTTTTCCAACCAATCCTAGGGCTCCAACTGCAACAGGGATTGTTGATGTTCCCATGTGCCACATTTTCGAGATTTCTATTTCAAGGTCCTTGTATTTTGACAGCTTTTTGAATATCTTCAAAGATACATTGCAGTTAGCAGGGACTGCCATGTCAATAAGGATGCACCGTTTTTGTTTGTGGTCTTTAATAACAATATCCGGGCGGTTGGCCTTGATTGTTCTGTCAGTGTGTATTGTGTAGTCCCATAGAATTGTAACAGATTCTATCTCCGTAACCGGGTCTAGGTGATGTTTATACCACTTTCTTTCAGTTTATTATTATTATTATTATTATTATTTCTGCAAACAATGCCAATTTTACTGGAGATGGAACCAGTGTACTAGTTGTCCATATCCAATGGAGTGAGGATGGCACATTTTCTACGTGATTCGAAACCCTTCAGAATATAGGAGCAGTCCCAAGTAGCACTGTCCTCTGTAAGTGTCCAATCTTGACACTGACCCCAATCTTCTCCAGACACTTAGAAGTCCAGTAATTAAGGTGTCCAGTGCACCAGCAACAATGGGGATGAACTCCGCTCTCTTCACTGAATACAATTTGTACACTTCGCATTTTAAACTATCATAGTTCTTGTTTTTCTTCTTTGTCGACTACTCTGTATTCTTCAGAACATTAAATATCCATGATAATACATATTCTTTCTTTTTATTTCTTCTTCTTTTTCTTCTTCTTCTTCTTCTTCTTCTTCTTCTTCTTCTAATTATTATTATTATTATTATTATTATTATTATTATTATTATTATTATTATTTCACTTGATTTTTGTTGTATACACATTTCTTTCCGGGTCCCTTTTTTGATAATATCTGCTCTGTTGGCTTTTATTTTCCTGTCAGTTAGTTACATCGTTATTTTATGTAACTGTGTCTGGTTGGTGCTCATACCATCTCTCAGTGGTTTCGATTTTTTGCTTCTTGGATATCTTCCAGTGCACACATGTTATGTCTGTGGGTATATTCATTTTTTTGATAGTGCCGTACATCCTGAGATAATGTCATCAATATTTTCATCATCATCTTCATCATCTTCATCTTCATCTTATTATTATTATTATTATTATTTGTGTGTTATGTTTCCTGCTTTGTATCCTGTAGTGCCAGGCCCAAACTATAGTCCTTAGGCCGTATAGGAGAACTGAAATTAATTGAGAGCACTTTTCTTAGTATATGGAATGTTCCTAGTAGGGTGATTTTCTGGGTAACTTTTATGTTGTTGTTACCTGGGACACTGTTAGTAAGAGTGTCCATTCCTTTTTTCATGAAACCCTGACCTCCGATTATTAGTTTTCATTCCCCACTTTCTGTTAAATCTCCAGGTCTTGTATTTGACTATTTCTCGATAATTTTTATGGAGATGTTTCTCTCAGATGATACTGCTATGTCAATAAGCACAAACTTCTTTAATGTCATATCTTTTAGGATAATATCAGATCTGTTGGCTTTATTTCCCCGTCAGTCTGAATTGGCATGTCCCAGAGGATAGTTACATCGTTATTTTGTGTAACTGTGTCTGGTTGGTGCTCATACCATCTCTCAGTGGTTTCGATTTTGTGCTTCTTGTTATGGCTGTGGGTATTTTCATTTTTTGTAAGTTCCAGACATCCTGATATAATATGATCGACAACTTCATCATATTTTCCGTAGATCCTGCATTTCGGGTTAGTTCCATTCATGATTATGTGACACTGATTGCGAAGCTTTGGTCCTAAGCTGCAATAATTAGGCCTTCTGTCTCAGCTTTCAGTCCGGTTCTCCTCAGATACTCATGTGTTTTCTGTTAGTCTACATCTGTTTCTTTCGTTCTTTTTAGGTATTTGCCATACAACTCCCTGTCCTCTCAGTTTTGTTGCAATTTTATTGGGCCAAGTTGTGTTGCATTCTGTTTTACCCGTTTTGCGTTGATGGTATTCGCTTCATTTTTTGTTTTTTGGTAGGATTTTAGGTATACTCAGCTGTTTCTTGAAGAGTGAAGCTTCTTTCTTGATCGAATGGATATTATTATTATTATTATTATTATTACTACTACTACCTAGAGAAGAGAGCGATTTAAGAAAAGAAACAAATCCATGCTTTCCCGCCAACTTTCATCTTCAAAAATATAGATGCAATGTCAATCGTTATCTACTATCTTCCTGATTACCCTTATAAACTCTTGCGTCATCTCAGGCTAAAGTTTCCAGTTGACATGAAGTGGAAAGGCTATAATGAATATCTATATGCATATCTATAAATCTACTACTCTTCCTTGCTTAGAATATTGCTGCCAAACATGGACTGTTGCCACTCCTATTCACCTTCCACTCCTTGATACGATGCAAAGAAGAAGAATACTTAGCTGGGGAAAAAGATGGCTTGTTAATTTTTAAGAAGGTCGGTTCACTGTGCTGAGCGAGACAATTTGTCTCTCCAGAATCTATCTTACATATCTACTACTCGTCTTTAGAATATTGCTGCCATATATGGTCTGATTTCGCTTACCTTGAGCTCCTTGATAAGATCCAAAGAAGAATCAGCAATATTATTGGTCATGATCTAGTGGTTCGGTTTCAGTTACTTCCTCACCGCCGTAAGGTTGCCTTTCTGTGCCTTTTTTTATAAATAATTTCATGGTAATTATTTGGATGAGCTCTTCGCTATGGTACGTAGACTTTTTTTAATTTAAGCGCAGTACAAGACTGACATCGAGATCCCATCAATTTACAGTTGAGCTGGCTAGATGTAGCCGTAAGCTCTATGCTAACAGTTTCTGTTAGGGTCCCATCTATGGGTAAATACTTAACCCCGAAACTGGGGTAAAAACACTATGAAAGTGTAAAACGGTCATCTGCTAAGAAGGTCGGTTCATTGTGCCGAACGAGACAATTTTTCTCTCCAGAATCTGTCTTACATCAGACATTGATGTGTTTTTTGTTTTTACACATCTACTTCTTTCTTTCCTTTTATGTATTTGAGATGCATCGCCATGTCCTCCCAGTTTTGTTATAATTTCATTTGGTCATGTATTACGTTCTACTTTACTCGATTGGCATAGATGTTATTCGCTTCATTTTTTGTGGGGGGTAGGATTTCAGGTATATTAAGCTGTTTCTTGAATAGTGAATCTTCTTTGTTGATGTAGTGGATATGTTGTTTTAGTATTTTTAAGAGAGGGTCATTGCTTTTTGCGTGGTAGGCTTTCAATCCGATTGTTGTAGCTTTAGTGTTAATTCAAGTAAGATTAGACCACGACCTCCTAAAGCGCATCTAATTTGGGGTGATGCATCCTCATTGGGGTAAGCATTTTTCTGATCTTGGCGTCCAGTCTTTTAACGTCATTCAACTTCCATTTAATATTGTTGAAGCTGTATGTTACAACCGTTATAGTTAAGGTGTTAATAGCCTTCATTTTATTGGTTTTATTCAGTTCACTTTCTAGTATCAAACGCAC